GAGACAAGAACCCAGTTAGCTTCAGGGCTTTTTTTTTTTTTGTCTACTGGGAATTGATTGAACACAGGGCCTTTGCAATGACCTACATTCCCAGCCCTTGCTTTTTTATTTTAAGACAGGGTCTAAGTCACTAAGTTGCCTAGGGTGGGCTCAAACTTGTGATCTTCCTCCCTCAGCCTCTGCAGGGCTCCTCTTGTACCTCCTTATATAATTTGGTTGTGTTTTGTTTTGTTTTTCTGGTATAGGGGATTGAACCCAGGATGGTGGCACTGACAGACAACTTTATACTAGTTTTGTTTCTGTACAGACCTCAGGATAAAACTTCCAACATTTCTACCAAGTTGTTAAAGCTCTTAACCATTTGCCTCTGCTTGTCTATGAGACTCAGTATTTCCTATCGATTAACTAAAACCACTGTAGAAACCAATGGAATTCTGGCACCCAGTTAAAATCATAACCACCCTCTACAACTCAGGGTTTCAAGTTTTTAGTTCATTGAAATGTCATCACTGATCCCAACCCTGATTTACTTCATGCTAAGTAAAGATTGTTAAGTTTTTTTCTTGTTTTTTTTTTTTGGTACCGGGGATTGAACACAGGTCCTTGCGCTAGAGAAACAGGCGGCAAAACCACTGAGCTAAATCCCCGGCCCTATTAAGTTTTGATTAATAAATTAAACTTACCCTTATAAAATATTGCTTTTATGCATCCTATCTGTTAGGATTTGGGGTGGATTTTGTTTGAGGAATGAAAAAGAAGTTCCACTGCTAAAAGAAATTTTTAGAACTGTGAAACACTTCATGAATTTGGGTTTCATCCTTGCGCTAATCTTCTCTATATAGTTCCAATTTTAGTATATGTCCTACTGAAGTGGGCAGACTTTTATTTTTATTTTTTAATTTTTTAATATTTTTGGTACCAGAGATCGAACTCGGGTCCTTGTGCTTGCACAGCAGGTGGCGAAACCACTGAGCTAAATCCCCAGCCCCCAGATTTTTATTTTTTTGAGATAGTGTCACACAATTTTGCTCAGGCTGATCTCTAACTTATGGGCTTTAGTCATCCTCTCTTAGGCTTCTCAAGCTAAAACTTGGGAAACCACTATCCACACTGAGTCCAGGGAAGAGAATGTCAGTGAGGTCCCAGATTATTTGTGATCAGTCTTTCTGGAAGCCTGGAATGCACAGCACTGGGGATTAGGTGGCAACTGTGACCTCTACTCCTTCCCCTCTGTCTTCTCCTTCACCTTCTCCTCCTCTCCTCTCCCTTGGCTTCCTAGAAGCTGGCACTTGGAGCTGAGAGCCCATAAGACTGCATCTCCATTTGGCCACATACCACTAATACTCTAGCAAATTATTTCACCTCTCAACCCTGTGGGGATGGGGGAAATGGGGGGAATGAGACTTGGGGCCTGATTCTAAAAGATACCAGGAGGATCAAAGAAGACTTCAGCAGGGAGGCTGTTTGAAATGTTAACAAGGCAGCTGCAGATGCCAGGAGCCATAGAAGGGGACACAGGAATGCTGTCCACCCACCCTTTACCACTATACCAGCCCCTCCAATTGGTCTAAAAAGGGAAGGAAGCCACAATGCTCCCACCCTCAGGCTCTCCAACCTTCCCTGGGAAAGGAGTGGCCTGGGAGCCCAGTCTGAAGTGAGAAGTCTGTGCCTGGGAGGAGGCCAGGCCCAGCAGGGGACAAAGCTGGTACCTGTGGGAGGCAGGTCTTCCAAGCAGTTTGGGGTTGTGTGAGGGCAACACTGGTCTGGTTCTGGGCTTTCCTAAAACAGTGGGGCAATGTTGGAAGGCCCTTGGGCTGCTGCCCCAAGCTTGGTTATTGCTGGTTCCTCCCTGGGACAAGAAGGCAACTTCCTGCTGGGTCAGCTGACAGCCTGGCTCCAGGATGGACTTTGGGCCCTGCCCACAGGGACTGCTGGGAAGTCAGCTCCCTCGGCTGCTCTGCTCTGTACAGCCAGCAAAGAAAGGTAGCAGAGCTGAACAATCATTAATCCAAGGGGCAGGATGTGGCTGCAGCTGGGGCACAGGCTATCCCTTCACAGGACCAGTGTCCCAGAAGCATGTCTGTCCATAGGCCAAAGGAAAAAGAAAGCCAGGTTGCTGCTCTGAAGTGGTCCAACCTGGGGAGGGGAGGTGAGGACATCTGGGTGTTGGAGTTAGGAGTAGTGAAGGAAATACAATCCTGACCTTTCCTTAGCCCCTTCCTTCCTCCCCTCCAAATCTGGGGAGCTAATCTCTGGGTCAACTCCTGGAGATTCTGCTTTGTGTGTGTGGTTTTTTTTTTTTTTTTTGGTACTGGGGATCGAACTCAGGACCTTGCGCTTGGGAGGCAGGCACCAGAACCACTGAGCTAAATCCCCGGCCCATGGAGATTCTGGTTTGAAAGGAGCCTTCGTTGAAATTATGACACTGGCAGGGCAAACTTCATTGGTATGTGAACTCTGCTGTCACACATGGCCTTGTACTCAGAAAGGCCCCAGCTGGGGTTGTAGCTCGGTGGCACCTCGCTGCCTGTCAAGCACAAAGTCCTGAGTTCAATCCCTGGTACCAAAAAAAAAAAAAGAAAAAGGCCCCAGACTTGGTCAAATGCTTTGCTATTGCTCTCTTGAAGTTCTTTTCATTTATTTATTTATTTATTTATATAGGTACTGGGGATGGAGTCTAGGGCCTTTGCACTGAGCTACATCCCCAACCCTTTTTCAAATTTTGAGTTAAGTTCTGAATTAAGGAGGTTGCTGGGGCTGGGTTGGAACTTGTTGTTCTTGTTTTTATGCTTTTTTTTTTTTTTTTTTTTTTGGTACTGGGGATCGAACTATACTTGTTGTTTTGAGACAGGGTCTCACTATGTACTTCAGGCTGGCCTTGAACTCACTATGTAGTCCAGCCTGCCCTGGAACTCCTCCTGAGCACTGGGATTACAGGTGTATGAAACCACGCCTGGCTGAGTTTGAACTTGTGATCCTCCTGCCTTGGCTTCCTGGAATGTTGAAAATCTCAGTAACTTTTGTTTTTTCTTAGTAAAATTTGGAGCTAGAATTTAGGGCCTTGTTAATTCTAGCAGCTGCTCTACCACTTAAGTTATACAGCCAGCCTCAAATTCATGGACACTTAAATTTTTGAACAAAGGGCCCTGCAAATGCAGTTGCTACTCCTGTCCACTGGGAAGAATTGCTGAAAATTGATGCAGAGCAAGATTAACCTACATTCTTCTCCTGTCCACCTCTTCCAAAATGGACTCTGCATTCCTCCTTCCTCCCCACACCATGCATTCACTTTATCCCATGGCTGAGGCACACTCTCTGTAAGGCTCAGTCCTGATACTGACCAACACACTTTTCCTTTGGTACTGACCAACAAACAGGAGAAAGGGGCTAGACTGGGCCAAGAACACCCTGAGAGCAAAGCACAGTGCCTATTTGCGACTACTTTTTTTTTTGGTGGGGTCCTTCCGCTTGTGGGGCAGTCAGTGGAACCACTGAGCTAAATCCCTGGCTCTCCCAGTGCCTATTTGGAATGGGTGCTCTGCAATTACAGGCTTGATCTGAATGAAGGGTGTTATAGGAAACTGAGTCCTAGCAGGGGCTGAACGAGCTGCTTCTGGGCTCCAGGTGCAGGTGGGACCCCCAGTGTCAGTGATGGCTCAGGTTCATGCCAACTGAGTCCCTCGGGACATTCAAGGGCTAAGGCAGTTTAGGGAGATCACGCTCTGCACTTTAATCACCTTAGAAAGTTACAGTAAGTGCTGTCTACCTTATGCCAGGGTTGACAGAGCTGGGTGCCCCAGACAAATGGGCCCATACCCTCATGGTGACCAGGACCAGGACAAAGCTGTCCAGGGACCCAGGGAAGGAGTACAAGGATACTCAACCCACGCAGGCCCCTAGGGCAATTTCTAGCCACTAGGCAGGGACAACTTCCAGATGCTGGCCTTGGCTTCTCTGCTGTTGACCCTTGTGTTCTCGGGCAATCAATGTCCCTTCCTGGTCTCAGTCTCCCTTCTGTATTAAAGGGTAACATTCCCTGTCCTGCTTCCCTCATAGGATGCTGTGGAATCAGGACAGAAAAGGGCTTGGCCTGCTATAAAAAAAGAGCCAGAGGCCTGGAGGAAATGAGCACAGCATTTCCATGATTGTTAAATGCTTTCTTTTCTGTCAACTTCCCCAGTCACACTTCTCACCTGCTCCAAGACCCACTCTAATGCATCAAGGTGGAACATCTCAGTGGGAAATCCTGACCCAGGCATGGGTGCCCTGGGGAGTCAAAGCTTAGGTTAAGGGGAAACTGGGGAAAGAGTGTTCCTCTCCTGGGCACCAATGGTGAAGCTGGAACCCAGGAGGCCTGAGATTGTTGGAGCCTGAGAGAAGGTGCAGTAAGGAGCAAAGGGGCTACTGGGGGGAGCAGATAGGAGGGGAATGCCCGCTGCCAGTCACAGGTCTGAAGTCTACCCCCAATATTGCCCGGGTTCTGGAATTTTCCAAATTTCCTTATTCCAGGAAAAAAGAAGACTAGAATCCCCCAACTCGGGACACCACGCTCACCTGGGGTCTAACCCCAGCATTTCGCTTCTCCTTCCACGACCACCCTATCCCCTTCCGCAGCCAACTGCCTCTGGGATCCCTCGGGACGGACCCTAGGCACAGTGCCCTCCCGGACGCCCCCGCCTTCCCGGCCTGGGCGGAGCGCTCTAGCGGAGCCCCGGGACCCCTCCCCTCCGGACCGGACCTCACCCTCCCGGGCCCGGCTGCGGCAGCGGGGAGGGGCAGCAGACAGCTCCGCTCCCGCCCCGCGGCCGCTCCCTGCTCGGCTCGGCTCCTTCCCTCCCGGCCTCTCCGCGCCCCGCCCGGCGGCCCCTCCCGCGCCGTGCGCCGTCCGCCTCCCGCCGCGCTCGCTCGCCTCCGCCGCCCAAACTTTTCTCCGGGAGCGTCTTGCGCGGCGGCACCCCGCGCATGGGCGCCGCGCCGCAGGGGGCCTGAGCCCCGCCAGGTCCGCCCGCAACGCCATGGCGGCCCGCGCGCCCCCCGCCGCACCTGCGGCCGAGGAGTCGGGGGGCCCGGGCGGCCCCCCGCGCAGGAAAAAGTCCCGCTCGGGCGCGTCGGGCCTCCGCCGCGCCTTCAGCTGGCTGCGGGGCAAGCGGCGCAAGAAGAAGGCGGCGGGGACCGAGGGTGCCGAGCCGGCTGCCCTCCGCGCGAAGAAGGCGGACGACAAGACCAAGAAGGCCAAGGGCAAAGGCCGAGGTGAGGCGGCCGTCACCTGGCCTGGGCTTCGCGCCGGGCGCACCGAGGGGGGGGGCGGGTAGCTCCGTCGGGGGGCGCGGTGCGTTGGAGGGGTTGACATCTAAGCTCTGGTGCCTCCAGCCCCGGCACCTCTAGCCCCGGCACCTCTATCCTTCGCTGCCCACCCCAGACTCAGCCGGCCCCATGCAGAGGGGAGGAGACCCCCCCAGCCGATCACAGCAGGGATCCCCGGGCTTCAGCAGGAAGTGCCGGCAGCCTGGAGATTCTCCTTCCCGCAGTCAGACTCACCCGGGTTCTGCCCTGTGCTGAGTCAGGGGGTCAGAAACTTGACTACGGACTGGGGCCAGTGGGAGAGGCAGGTGGTCTTGGATGTCTGGTGAGGGTCCCTCTGGGTCTGGAAGGTCAAGTACACTCAAAGGGAGTTTCTGCCCTCCAGGTGGGCAGGTGGGTCTGGGTTGCCAAACGTACAAAGGACCCACTTCGGGGCTTAGCTTGCCTTAAGTTGACAGTGTTAGCTTTTCCCACCTGATACCCGGCCAGCTCACCTGGGCCAAACCGCAAACATCCACCTCCTGGGGTGGTGAGCTCACCGTCCTCACGGTAGGAGAACCAGCAGCCCCTCCCCATCTCTCCTTCCTCCAGCCCTGGTAGGTACCTGCCACGGTTGAAGGTGTGCTTGCAGATGGGGGAAACTTGAGGCCCAAGCTAATTGGAGAGCCTGTACCTGGGCTGGGGCTGGTACTTAAAATACAGACCTCTTTCCTAATCTTCCAGAGTTTGAGTCCCTGGTGACCTCTGGCCTGAAGAGTGAGGAGCTTGAGAGGAGGGCAAGATGACCTAGTCCATCCCTACTAGGGTCACTTTACTTTCAGCCACTTGTTTGGTGTTTTGCTTTTTCCCCGTTAATGTCTTCAGTTAGGAGGGAAGGGCTTCAGTTTCTGCAAGAGGGTGGAGCTTGTAGCTTCGGAAGTCTACTTTTCCTTTGCTCCTGCTGCAGTGCTGGGGGTGAGGAAATGGTAGGGTGTGTGGGCTCATCCCATTCCTCCTGTGTTTACTCTCCTGGTGTCCTTTAACCACCTCCTCTGGAGGAAAAGTAGAAGGAACACTTTAAGGGTCAGGGAGAGTGTGGAAAGCCTCTTGTGTGATTGCATCCGGCACGATCTTCCTTTTGGATAAGGGCCCTGCTCCCCTGCAGGGCAGCCACAAAGAGAGACCAGAGTGCTGGGGCTGGGGTGGCTGGGCCAAGCCCTGAGGGGAGGTTTGGTTGAGGGGTGTTTTCAAAGGCTCTGCAGCCCTCACACTGGGGGAACCCTGCTCCACTGGGATTCAGCTGAAGTTATCCTCACCTCACTCAGGAGGGCATGGGTCAGAATTGCAGCAGGATGGCTTGTGGTCAGACTATCAGGATTGGCAGGCAGAAGGTTAGTGGGCTGGTGTCTTACTTAGGGGCAGTGAACCTTTCTTCCCAGGGATACTACCTGGAGGTAGGGGCTGAAAATGCTAAGCCTGTAGGTTCCTCCTCCAGCAGCCAGGGCCTGGAGTCACTGGGTCACTGGCCAGGTCTCCCTTGCTTTGTGTTTAAAGGTATTGGGTGGCACCGGGCTTTCTGAGCAGCAGGTCAGCCTGATTGAGCCCACGTGCATGGGCAGCACCTCTGCTCCTAGCTATTGTTTTCCCAGGTCTGGAGGTGGCCCCAGGTGTAGCTGAAGGAAGTCCTGCTCCAGTCTCCTATTATTGTAATTGTTTCCTTGTCACCTGCCTGGCCCAACTTTTCTGTTTATTAAGAGAAACAAAAATCTGATCTCTTTAATCTCCACTGGGACTGCTGGCCAGAAGGGGGAAGCCCAAGGAAGGCTTAACTCTTTCAGGGAGAAAATTCAGAATGGAGACTGGGGGAGATGGAGAAGAAGGCATACACAGAAAGTTCCTGGGAGGTCAGGGGCCTTTGCTGGGAGGATTGTTATCTCTTCCATTCCAGTCTTCGAACCAGAGACCTAAAGATACAGGTCTTAGCCCCTCTCATCTGATCCCCTACTAGGAGATGGTAAACTTGGCTTGTAATGGAATTTTGACTCTAGTCTCTCATGATTCCCCTACTTTCCTCATTGCCCTGCACAAATTTAGCAGAAGAGAGGAAATGTGACATTTATTAATCTGAATGTGTCAAGAGCCTGTGTTCATTGTCTCATGAGATCCCATTTGGAGTTGAAAAAAACCTGAGGCTCAGGAACAGTGCATGATTGATTTGACCAAACTGAGATCCACACTCAAAGTCACCTGACTCCCAAATCTGATACAGTACTATTGTCATGACTCTCTGAAAGACACATAGTGGGGGTGAGCCTTGAAGATCTTCTGATCCAACTCATCCTGCAGATAGGAGATGGTCCAAGAGAGAAGTGAGGGAACTTGATAGAGTGGGGGGTGGGTATCAGAGTGGTAAATGAAAGTTTACCTTTGGCTCAGCTTCTGGTAAGCCCATGACACTGGATAAGCAGCTTCTCTATGGGCCCACAGATTCCATAACTGTCTCATGGGGAAGGAGGGGACTTTCTCACAGGGGTGATTGATCCTCTGAACATGGGTCTGTGATCTTTCTCTCTCCAAGATTCTCACAAGAAATGATAATAAAAATTATTTGAAAGAGAAGTCACTCTAGAAACGCAAAGGGTTGCTATTATTGTGTCTATGTTGAGTCACCCCTCCAAACCTCACTTCCCTTATCTGAAAAACAAGGATAATAAAGCCTGGCTTTACAGGAGTGTTCCAAGGGTCCCCTTAGGTAGCAGACATGAACGTGCTTTGTGAACTGTGGAGCATGGTCTGGATGGTAGCAGGTTTCTGGTGTTGTGATGCTGAGGACTTGAGAATTAGTTAAGTTCACCCTGATCTGTGTTTGGAAAACAGCTCATTTGGTTACATCTTTTACCCATATTGATGGTTATTACTGAAGGGGATTCATAGAAGGTGGAATCTCATCTTTGAGGACTCAGATGTAAAAAAAAAAAAGTTAAAAAAAACCCCACCCAAATCTATATTTTCCAGAAATATGACCTGGACTCTAGACAAGTGTGTAGGAAGTGTTTCTGGGATTAATGCCAGGGCTGGGGCCCAGCTGGTAATCAGGGGAGGCTTTCTGGAGGCGGTGAGCTGGGTTCGGAAGGAGAGCTAAGTTGAAGGGGAGAAGTAACAGGAACGCTGCTCCTTGCCAGGATAGGTCGTATAGGTCATCTTCTGTTGTCCTCATAACACCCTGGGTAGTGAGCAGTTACCACCAGGTACAGGTGAGAAAAAAGGTCCTCTTAGAGGATGCAAGCAATTTGCTCAAGATCACTGGGCTTCATGCTTTATGCTTCTATGCAGTCTCAGGCCTTGTTCACACTGATGAGAACACCTGAGGACAGGACAGGTGAAGTCCCTGCGCCTATGGTAGTGATGTCACAGTATGGGAATGACAGCCCTCAGTCTGTCCTCAAAGGCTACACTGCCCAAACCAAATAATAGGCTGTTGGATGAATTTCTGAGTGTGGAGGCACTAACCACTGAAAAGACTTGGGACAGGACCAGCTTTGGGGAAGGGGGGTGTACTGCACCTGAGGGTTTCTCTGGAGCAGTGGCTGAAGGGGAGGAGTGGAGGTGGCTCTGGTTTTTAGATTCAGGAGTCACTATGTCAGGCCCAGCACACTTCAGCCTGGAACTCACTCTGGATTCCATGTTCCCTCTGGCCAGCCACCAAGGGAGGACTGTCCTTGGCATGGGTTTGCGAAAAGATCTGAGGTTGAGTTCTGCTCTGCTGTATGACTTTGAGCAAGCCTGCCTCACTCAGCGCCAGCCATGATGTGTCTTGTTAAAGATGGAGTTTAATGCTGGTGGTTCTCAGGGCCTGTGGGTTTTGAGAATGGCCTGGAGGCGGAAGCTTAGGGTTGAGGGATGAGCTTGGGGATGGAGCTGTGTCCAGGAAAGGAGAGCCTCCTTGTGGACAGCCAGACAAGAGGTGGAGATCTGGTGGCCTGGGTCTTACTCCATGTATTTTTACACCCCACCCCCCCCACCCCCCGTGGTATGGGGAGCAAACTCAGGACCTTGTCCTTGCCAGGCAGGTGCAGGGCCACTTATCTAAATCCCTGGCCCTACATTCCTTATCATTGCATTTGCTTCCTTTCACTTTTCAATCAGTGACTTCCTAGCCAGGCATGGTGGTGCTTGCCTGTAATCCCAGCACTTGGGAGGCTGAAGCAGGAGGGTCACCATGAGTTCAAAGCCAGCCTGAACAACACAGCAAGACCCTGTCTCAAAAAAACCCCACCAAAAACCCAGAAAAACCCAACAACAGTCAATTCAGTGAACTATTCACCTCTCAAGGCCCAGTTCTAGTATCCTCATCTCTATGATACTCTTGGGAAACTGCTGCCCCCAGATTCTAGAGCAGGGTGCTTAAGAGATTGGGAGTTGGGTAGTATTTGATTTTTTTTTTGGTACTGGGGATCGAACTGAGGACCTTGGGCTTGTAAGGCAGGTGCTGTGCCACTGAGCTACATCCCTGGCCTGGTAGTATTTGATTTTATGGCTACCTTCTTCTTGGGTAGGGGCATCTCAGTCTCTTTAGCTTAGGGTCTGGACCAGTGTATGTAACGGCAGCAGGGTTCCCTCTGCTATGGGATACATCGATAGACAAGTCTGGGGATCTCAGGAAAAATGTGACAAGGTTATGCTCTGCTTATCTCCACTCAGCTGCTGTTAAAGGATGGGCATTGTCAGGGCCGGGGATTTGGCTCAGTGGTTCTGCTGTCTGCCTTGCAAGTGCAAGGTCCCAAGTTCGATCCCCGGTACCAAAAAAAAAAAAAAAAGGATAGGCATTGTCTGCCTTGGGTCCAGAAAGGAGACGCCTCACTCATTTATTTCACAAATACTAAGTACCTATTATGTCCTGGGCACTGTCCTGGGGATGAACAAGAGAGATAAGGAGGTTTCAGTCCTCATGAACCAACCTTACAATTTGA